AGTTTTAAACTTATCTGGCTCGTGGATGCTAGTTCACCTTCTATCAAGTTAGTGTTCTCTTCTCCAGAGTTAATAAAAATTAATAGAAATGCTTCAAAAGCACCTGTGTTTGGTTTGGTTTGCTTTGCTCTGGTTTGCTTAACTTCGGGCACCATTTTTGAATCAAAATCCAGAACTTTGGACCACAGTTGCGTGGGCTGAGTGAAGCCTCCCTTTGCTTCCTGGTTGGACACACCCTCCTCTCTCTGTCCTGCTCCTTCTCCTTCCTCAGCGCTGTGTCTTCTGGCTGGCTTCCCCCCACTGTCTCAGTCTTTTGACAAGTGAACTCTTTGCTTTCAAGGTTTTTCTCCAAGTCAGTCCACGGTGGATGTTTCTAAACTAGTTTGCAGTTCTTTGCTTTCATAAATAACCGAATCCCCAAAGAAAATACCTCCCTCTTTTTTTTTTTTTTTTGTAGTCATTGTTTAAAATAGCTGCCACAGCCACAGCGATCCCAGGATGTATGGGCAGGACTGTGTCCCTGGAAGCAGCCCGACGCATGACATCTAGGCATCTTTGTTAATTGACAGTTCAGTGTGTCCTCTTTCTCCAGCGTTGGGGGAAGCTGGCATGCTGATGAGTCTAAAGTGACACTAGATGACTCCATTGTTTTCTTTATTTATTGACGTTTTATGGGGACTTAATTCTTAAACCTCAAGAATGCAGGATGGAGTTAGGCCACTCTGCTGCCTGGGCTGGAGCCTGCTGACCCCTGTGGCGGATGTTTCAGTGACTAAGTGGTGGGGGTGGCAGACAGCAGCTGCCTCTCTGGCTCCTTCTGGAAAGACTGAAGGACCCCGGGTTGGAAACACCACAGATCAAGTGACCTGCAGGTCTGAACAGGGCCAAGAGGAAGAGAGGCCAAGAGAGGAGGATTCCGAGGGCGGGGAACCTGCCTCTAAAATGATAAGCCCTGAAAATCTGTCACTTCCCTGTAATAGTTTTCTCATTGTTTTACTTAATCCCAATAATTTGAATCCCAGGAGGGGAATTTGAGTAATATTGCAAGAAACTGAGACCCAGGGCAGATAAGTGGCAGAGCCGGGGCCTGAACCCAAGTCCTGTGACTCCCTCTCATACTATCTTTCCCTTCTTCTCCCCGCTTTCCTTTTTGGAAACAGGAGTGAAAAACCAATGGCGAGGGGAGCAGGAATTCAGATGCATGCGCTCCCCCGTGGCTGAGCTGGGGAGTCCAGTGTCTGGACCCCCTCACTTCTTTCAGAGGCTCTGTGGCCTCGGCTGACCTCAGCCACAGCAGGCCCGGGCCCCTTCTGAAAGCACAGGGCTCACTCGTTTGCATTCCAGTACCCCAGACATCACATACCGGCAGCCTGAGAGCCCCAACTGGCCTAAAATGAGTTTTTCTTAGTCCTAACACGTCGTATCACACAACGTATTTTAAAAATTAGATTTATTGCCAACACTGAAAAATCGGGGTGTCTTTTTGCCCATCCAAGACAGCTTAGCTTGCCTCAGATCAATCTTTCTATTAAGAAAGATGAGAAAACCTCTACTGTTTGATGAGGGTGAGAGCAAGGTCTTCGTCGTTTGGTCCTGTAGCAACAAAATGCCCAGCCAAACAAATGCTCCACCCCCAGATGAAGACGTGACTTCCCCCTATGCTGGTGACCTCCCAGAAGCAAGGCCCTCCTCTCTGGAGGGAGATAACCTAATCCAGAGATGCTCCAGGGCTTATGTGTGCCCCACGGGCATCTGTACTTTCCACACCCAGACTGGGTTATTAGGAGAAAGATGACAAAGGAATCGATTGAGGACCAGAGGACAAGGACCCATCGATGTCACTGTTTCTGAAACGCTGGTCGCAGGAGGAAAGGAGATAAGCTGGGGTTCTCTTGTGCAGCCGGCCAGGGCAGGATTCACTCTGCAGTTGCTCTGTGCTTTCTACACGGCATGGATCAGAGCTTTGTCTCTGAGTGTCCCACAGACACGGTCACCGTGTGGAACGTAGCAGGGGCTGTGAAATCCTGTTGCATTGAACCGCTTTGTACCACCAAGTGCTTAAGTCATGGCTGCCTTGTGAGAAATGCAGCCAGTGTGTGCAGAGCATGTGCCTAGCTGGCCCGGGATGGCTGCAACAAGCATTCCCCCCAGTTAGCACTTAGGGCCTCACAGGAAAAGCACCGCAGCGGCCATGGTGGGAGCATTGACACCCAGGTGATTGACAACACCAGAGAGCATATGAGAGCCAGGACATTTTCCCCTCCAGAGCCGCCTCTGGCCAAACACTTGCCAGCACCCGGCCACCCTGGCCAGCACGTGGCCACACGCTATCAGCACCCGGCCACACACAGCCATTTCAGATCAAGACTGGTCCAAAAACCGGGAGCAGAGAAGCAAGTTACGCACATGCGCACTCAGCGTTCCCTTGCCCTTACGACCTTCCGCATTGCTGGATAGCAGTGGGAGAGACGAGCAAAAAAGTCCAGTTTAATCCAGTAAACTCAGTTGGCCCCGATAATCCAGGTATTTAGATATTTTTATCTCTTTGGGGTCAAATATTCAGTCCTATTTTCTCCTTTCCTTCGCACGCCAGGGTAAGCTTCAGGCGAACAGAGTGGTGGATAAAGACTGGATGGCAGGGGGTGTGTGAAGTGTGTTTCACCTGCCCCCGGTTGGGGAGGGGAAGCAGCAGGACTGAGCAGAGAGAGAGATGGAACTGGAAGCAGTGATGATAAGACAGCGGGGTTCCCAGTGGCCCTCAGAGCAGATGCATTTTTACCCTGCATGGAGTATTCGATTGTTTCAATAATTACCAAACTTTTGGTATCTTCTCATAAAAATCAAGGCTCCCAGGTCCATGGAAAAACTGGAGGATGTGGCGTGGATTGCCCATGCCAGAGTGCCTTTCAAGAGTGTGACTTCCATTACTCAACCCTCATCTGGTCCTCTTCATGATTAAGAGATAAGCTTTGACATCTGAACAGCTCCCAGTAGAAATCCAGCCTGGCAACTCAGTGACCATGTGACCTCAAGGAAGTTACCCCTCCTCTCTGAGCTTCGGTCTTCATGTCTGTACAGTGGGGTGCAGCAATGCCCAGCCCACAGGGTTGTGATGAGGATTAAATGAGATGGTGTTTTGAAAGTCCTTGGCACAGAGCCAGTGTGTAATAAAGGCTGTCTATGTGCTGCACGGATTCAAAAGGTCTCGAAATCCTTTGGGGAGGATTTAAAAGGTGGCTGGCACTTGAGCGTTTACGGCCTGATGAAGGCTTCTGCTCTGGGTCTTCCACATGCAAACTTACATTTGATGGGAACCCCGGCTGTGAGGGTGGATCCCGTCCATAAACTAACTCAGTCTTCTGGGCGTGTCATGACCACCGATGTAAACAGGTCAGAAACTAAAAGAAGCAAATATATGCTTTGCCTTGAGAAAACAAACGGGAAAGTCCAACAAACCCAAAGAGACACAACCCCTCAGGAGGTAGCCTCCATTGCGTTTCCCTGGGTCAGATGTTGTGGGTGACGGGAAGATGACCCGAGGCTGGGCAGGCAGAATGCAGAGATGCACCAGCCTCTGGCCATGCTGTTTCTGCTGGGTAGGAGGCGTCTGGCACCTTCCCTGCAGTTAAGACCTTGAAAACAAGGGTCTTCCCATTTTTCTCAGGTAACCCCCACTCTCTCCAGTAATATCCCCATCACTCAGATGGCATTGGGGCAGGAGTGTCCAGGTATGGAGAGCCACTCCAGCAGAGACCTTGGACACACAACCAACCTTAGGGCCAGGGAGGGTTGTGGCAGCAACTTGCCCCGTTGGTAAACTCTGATACATAAGGTTTTCTGAGTCATCTCCTTGCTCTTGGTTCATTCATTTATTCAGCACAAAAGAAAAAAAAATTATTAAGCACTTATTATCTGCCAGGTCCAATAGTCAAAGGGCCATTGAAGAGCCCAATGCAGTAGATAAATGCAGACGTACATGCCAACATGGTGCTGCTGAAAAGTGTGGGCCTGCAGGTTTGAAGCCTCGGATGGGGCAGAAGATGGGGTTAGCCCTGTCCTGGGAGCCTGGGAAGGTCTCAGAGGAATTGGCCTCCAGCTGGGGCCCCTGAGCATGACTGAGGAGGTAGCCGGGCTGAGGCAAAGGGCAGAGAAGGCTGGAGCAGAGGGGGAACTTGGACTTGAGGAGAGTCACCTGTGAGGGACAGGATTGGTGTCAGGGCTGGCAAGGTAGGAGAGGGGCTCCCTGGGCAGACTTCGAATGCCAGGCCAGGACCACCAGGCTCTCTTCCAGGCACACGGTGCTGCTAAAGTGGGGTGGGGGGTGCCACAGATTGCCTTCCCCTCACAGTTAGGACCCCGCCATTCTGTCTCCTGTTGAAGTTCTGCCAAGGTGGTCTACATACAGCAAGCGGGGGAGGGGGGATTGGGGAAAGAACCCTGTGAACTCAGAGTAGCATCTGTGAACCAGGCAGGGCCACTTTCTTCTGGTCCAAGATGAGCTGAAGCAAGTGTGCATGGGCACACAGAATGGCAGCGACTCCCAGGGCTGTCCATAAATGGAGCAGCTTAGTTGTTAGGGCAGTTTTGGGTTCACAGCAGAATTGAGAGGAAGGTTCAGAGAGTTCCGGTGTATCCCCATTCCTACGCATGCAGAGCCTCCCTATTCTATCAGTATGCAGTGCCCTGCAGAGAGGTACCTTCAAGACAACTGATCAGCTTCGGTTTGTTGAGAGCCACAGCCGAAGGGGCCCCAGCAAACTTCCAGCTGATTGGCTCACCTTGGCCCCAGCAAATTTCCAGCTGCCAGCTGATTGGCTCCTCTGCGGTGATGCTCATTGGGCTGTTCCCCCCCCCTTTCAGACCACTGAGCTGCTCATTGGGGGACTCTTTTGGCTCCACCCACATGACCCAGCCAATCGGCCTCAAGAGGACGAGGAGTGAGGGTTGAGAGGCTCCTGGGAAGCCAGTGGTGGCAGTTGGGCTCTGAGGGAATTCCTGAAGAGAGCGTGTGTTTGTTTCTGCTTGACAAGTGGTTCCTGAATTGTGCCCAGCCAGACTGTGGCATCGGTGAACACAGCATTGCTGGAGCCCACAGCTCACATCAGAGCTCACCGCTGATCTTGCCATGCTACAGATCTAGACAAATATGTAATGACACACATCTGTCGTTGTAGCAGCAGGCAGAGTACTTTCACCTCCTCTGTGCCCTGCCTGTTCACCCTCCCTTCCCCTGAGTCACTGGAGATGGCTGATCTCTTTACTGTCTCCATGGTTTTGAGTTTTCCAGGAACTCAGCCAGCATGTCGGCTTTTCACGTGAGTAAAACGCACACTGAAATTTCCTCCATCTCCTTTTATGACTCAGAAGCTCACTTCCTTTTAGGGCTGAATAGTACTCCATTGTCTGGATGGACCACAATTTACCTGTCACTCACCTACTGAAAGACACCTTGGTGGTTTCCAGGGTTTGACAATCATGAAATAAACTGCTAGCAACATCCTGATCAAGTGTTTGTGTGCCCGTAAGTTTTCAGCTCCTTTGGGGAGACACCGAGGAGCACAGTGCAGGACCCTATGGTAAGAGCTTCTGTATTTCGCGGTACCATGCACATACATTGTACATAAACCCATTTCAGACAAAGTGGCGGCGCTACACTGGTGAACACGGAGATGGAGTCCAGCCAGCCTTCCTCCTCCAGACTCAGCATCTCAGCCACTCCAAACCCACCTCGAAAATGGACCAAACCAATGCAAGCCTTCAGAGGAGACGCCAAGCAGGGTACTGACCGGGTTGGGTCCTCCCTCCATTTTCCCTTAGCCTAATGCTTCCCTGCCTCCAGTGTGTGTTCGACTTTTCTGCAAGGTTTGATGAAACACAGATTGCACCACACCAAGTTCCCGATTCAGTAGGTCTAGGCCGCTGTGTGTCTGGCAGCTCCGAGGGGATACTAACTGGGTTAGTGAGGGGACCCCCTTGGAATCACTGCCCTCCAAGGGGTAGCGCTGGGCTTGGAGGCCTTTCATGAACAGTGACTCTGAAGACACAGCAGGGACACTGTCCGGGTGCCCAGGAAACGTTCCGAGGGTCGGCCGTTCCTGGCTCCCTGCAGGATTTGCCCAGGCCTGGTCTGGGGCTGTCCACACTGGAGTGGGTGAGGCTGGTAGTTCTTTCCCCATTTTCTTTTGTCCCTGGACTTCCAGTCCGTCCCTCTTGGGGCTGGCTGGCCAGCCAACTCTGCTCCCTTCCCTGGATCTGTTTAGAGACCTGACTAGCAAATTCAGGAATCCGAGTCCCACCAGTGTCAAGGGCTGGATTCTGCAACCTGGCCCTGGAGAGAAAGCAGAGCCCACAGAACCGGGGTCATCTGCAGAGCCAACCCTGGAGACGCCAGTCTGACGTCAGGAGATCAAAGAGCAGGCAGGGGCGCAGAGAAGGGGCGGCTCCCTCCTTGTTTCTTAGTGGGTCCTTTTCTGTACCCAGCATCCCCTCTCTCCTGTGCATGGCAGACTCAGTGCAGGGCAGACACTCTGGGGCTCAGTAGGGCTGCTGCGACTCCAGCAGAAACCTGGTCTTCCCCAGGTGTGCGGAGCAGGCACCCCACGCCGTGCCCCACCATGCACCGGGCCTGCTGAGGGGTTCTATCACCCACACTGCTGCACACTGAGCCAGACCCAGATGCCCACGGGGCCTGCTGCGTCTGGGTCCTGTCCTTGGGAGGAAAGACAGATATTTTTAGACCTTCCCTGTGGCCTTCGCAGAGCGTCATGCCTTGCACCTGGACACCAGAGGGCGCTGCGGCACCAGCTCATTCCCAGAAGGCTCCAGACGGGACCCAGCTGCCAGGGTACTCATGCAACAGACCCAGGGGTGGAGGCAACAAGAAAGGGGACCCCTGTGGCTTCAACTGCTTTCCTGGAAGAAAGGAAGTAACTTCTACTACCCAGAGATTTCAAAACCTGTTGTGATTTCAAATATTAAAAAGAGTAATGTGCATCCTGAAAGCAAGAAGTTGTAGTCATCTCTGGACAGACCCCTGGCAGGGACTCATGCACATCAGGAAAGTGCTGGCTGCCCAGGAAATAGCCACGGACACAATTTTACTTGGTTTCAGGCTGGGTATCATCAAAGGAGCCTGGCCTTCCCGCTTGAAGTGGAGCTTGAGTGACCATTATCATTTCCAGTTGTCCTTCCTATCCACGAGGTTCGACTCCCTGGATGTAGCCAATGGCAGATCGAACGTGTACATGTCTGTACCATATGTCCATAAAATGCTCCACATCTACAGCTACACACATACATGTCTTAGCTGTGTCTATACTGAAAACAGACAGGGGCATGATTGGCGAGCAGGTGGAATATTTCTGTGCAGAAGCACGTTTTAGGGGACAACCTAATCTCACATTCTCTGCCATACTGTTGTCGAGTGACGCATATGTGAGGGCTCAGATCCTGCACCCTGATTTTCAGTCACCAGACTGTGAAGCTTCAGGACATTTTAGGCAGCATTGGGGTGTTAGAGCTGGGTACGATCAAAGGACCCCAAGGCATACTCTAGGCTTGGCAGTGACCTCAGCAGCTGCCTTTCATGAGATTGTGAATGAAAATGCTTTTGAAAGCAGAAAGCCTGCACAAGAGCTGGTGATGCGTGATCTGGGTCAAATGCACCCCTCCCTTCCTCCTCCTCTTCCTCTTGGAGGCAGGGTTAAACTGAGACAGGAGCTGAATTTAAAATGCCCCCGGTCTGCACTAAGCTGCCCACCAGCTGTGCAGCCTCAGCCGGTTGTTTTCCTCTGAGCCTCAGCTTGCTCCTCTCTGAAGCGGGTATGGCGATCATCGTGTCCTACAAAGGGGATGGTAACTGCACACACTTGTCACCTCTGTGAGCCACACACACACTGTGCCTACTGCTTGGTACATTTTGGCACGTCCTCTCTTCCCAACACACCACAGGGTGGCAGCTCCCATTATCAGCCATTTACAGAGGAGGGAGGGGAGCCCCAGGGAGTCTGCCAAGCTTCTTGAGGATGTGCTCCTCCTTCTGCCCAGAAGTGAAATTGGATTCCAGACTCAGGAACTTAGCCCACTGCCCATTGGTCAAGAGGAGCAATTGCCTGGTGTGTTTGACCAGGAGGGGTTGTGACAAGATTGCGCCTGCAGAGGGGAAGCCTCTGACAGCGTAAATGACAACGTAGGTGCTCGCAATAATCTAATAGCTGAGGGAGATTTTGTTGGAACTGAGAAGAGAGAGGGGCAGGAAGCCGTGGGTCGCTGTTTCTCTCGGGCACAGGTTTGTGCTCTCCAGGATGCTACGCGCACAGCCTCCTGTGATTCCCAGGCTCGTTCCACCAGGTGCGCAGGGCAGGTTTCATTATTCCCATTTCCCTGAGGATGAAAGGGGTTTTTGTGGCCCAGCAAATAGCCCTTGCTGACAAATGTGCAGGTGAGATTTCCCAGAGCTGCTGAGACTAGACACAGTTCAAAGGCCAGAACGTGGCAAGGTGAATGGCATACAGCAGGTGCTCAATCGATGCACTCTGGGTCTGCAAGTGCAGGAAAAGCCCTTCCAGACCACATGCACTCACTCTTCCCCAAGGTGGGGATCCACTGTGAGGCTGGAGTGGGCTCAGCCGCCGTGCGGACAGACTGTGCACGCATTGCCCTGAGGAGCCCGGGCTGTCAGACAGGATGCCCCAGATCCTTCAGAGATCTTAGGGCTGGAAATCTAGAGTCCTCTTGGAAGACCTCGAACCCACGTCTCCCACCTGCACTGTCACTCGCTACAGGGAATTTTTGTTGTTGCTGCTGTTTTTTTAACAGGTGGCTGTTTTTCTAACGTACATGTGGGTTGCAATTCACGTATTTCTAATAAACACATAGTGCACAAGAAAATTAAAGTTCTGGAAACACAGGGGATTTGGCCCAAGGCCTTTGTGAGCTAAAGGAGAAAGCAGTGTCAGAGCAGAGGCACCACACAGATAATTAGTCACACCAGGAGCTGGAAGGCAAGACAGTTCCCTGGGAATCCAGGGCTCGGGGCTGCTTCCTGTTTCCCTCTGGACCTTAAGAGCTGCCACAAGAGCCCCTAGAGTAGTGTGAGACAAAAGTGCCACAAAGTGGGAGACACGCACCAAACGCTGTCCAGTGGGCACCCTGGGTGGAAAGGCTCTCGGGGGGGACGTAGGTTTCTCTTTTCAGCTTGTCTGCATTTTGTCACCAAGTGTGCGTTCCGCAGGTAATTTGGGTTGCTATCGAGAAAGGAAGGTCAGGCTACTTGCATATGGTTATGATACGTGCACCTCATAAATCCAGAAAGAGGTCCACTCCTCTCTCCATGCAGGGGGGCTCTTGTTTCGTTCGTTCTTTGCCATGGGCTCGCTTTCTGATCATAACAATGGACACGGTTTACGGAGCCTGTACTTGGTGCCAGGTGCACGGCCAGGCGTTTATCCCATGGTTTTGTTCTCACAAGTATGCAAGGTGGGTACTGATATCTGTGTTTTCTAGCAGCACTCTGATCTGTAGAAACAGGACAGAGCTCTCAGATGCAATACTGCATTGGTTTCTTGCCTTCGCACGGAGCTGGTGTTTTAGAGACCGGATATTGGCCTTGCGGGGGTCTGGCATGGAGAGACGGGGTCCTGCCCAGAACTGTCACAAGATGAGCCTTGCCTGGGAGGCGGGGACAGGGTCAGTCCCCATCGTCAAACTGCAGAAGCTGTCTTGCGAAGAGGGGCCCCAGTTTGCCGGAGGAATGTCAGAGTCAAGGCTGAGAACCCTGGCTCTCCCTCAGTTCTCTCTACCTGCTCTGAGCCTTGCTGGCGACTGGTGGGATTCACGGAGGTGAAGCGGTGAGCTCTGGGCAGGAAGCACTGTCTGCGGGGCCTACCTGCAAGGGGACATCAGAAGGGCCCTTCATCTGATATCTAACTGCTCATCCTACCCCTCGGGTGGAAGTCAAAACATAGTTAAAGTTTAGTGAACTTAATGTATTTAATAATAAAAATAATAATGGCCCAATTAATAGCAATCCTGTGTACTTTAATGGGCGCTTTCATCTGAGAATCAAAGTGGTTGAGAAGGGGAGCCATCATTAGGCTGATTTTACAGATGAGGAAAATCAAGCTAACGAAGTTCAACGACTTGCCCAGGGTCAGAGCCTGAGTCAGCGCTGGGACCAGGCTCCGCCAGGCTCCCGCCCCCTCCTGCTCCCGCCCCCTGGGCCTGGCCCTCCTGTAAGTATCTTTCATCTAAGAATCTTAAATTAATCTCCCAACAATTATCACCATTCATCAGTGGCCAACAAAAAGAAACAGTCCCTGGCTTGCCAAGCAGAGGAAGCCCCTGTCCCAGCCTCCCGCAGGCTACCAGAGGCCAGCGTCACGGTAGACCGTGGTCTAGCGGCACGGGAGACAGGCTCCTGGGTCTCACCCCTCAGAGGGGCTGATCCCCGCCCCCCAGACCCAGAGGGTGGGAGTGGAAAAGGTCGCAGCCCATTCTCAAAGCCATTTCCCTCGGGATAATCTGCAAGTCCTCCTGGTGGCTGGAAGCGTTCCCTGCTTGCTTACAAAACCCAGACACTGGGACATGGGGTGAAGAACACAGGCTTTGGAGCCATCCTCTGGATGGGAACCTTGACTGTCATGGATTCAGCGCGTACCCTCTGATGGCTCAACCGTCTGAACCTTAATGTCTCCGACGGTGGCCTCAGCGTGGTTGTGCCCCAGTACCTTTGACTCTGCTAATGTCAGCTGCACGCTTCCCCAACCCCTCCGCCTCTCTTGAAAATGCTGTGAAATCTTATTTTGGCATATGCCGTTCTCGATAGACCGTGCCTCTCTGTGTACACTGTGTATGTTTGTCCCCTGAGTGCAGAGTACACATCCCCAACCGGATATGACAAACCTCGGGAGTGAAAGTTTTCAAAAAGGTGCTCAAGGGTCATTTTAACTGCGCTCGGTTTTTGCCTGACTTCTGATTGGAACTGTGTTGTGTTTCCCCGGGGAAACCTCTGTGACTGGAGACGGAGAGAGATTCCTACGGAGCCCCTGAGGGAGGGCCTCTCGTGGTCTCTCCATCATGAAACAGTTTTTATTAGGCTCGTTTTTTATTAGCAAAAGAAAAGGTTAAAAAATACTAAATAATCTTGCCTTTAAGAAGAACAAAAGGAGCCCAGAGAGCAGAGACGGGAGGGTACGTGGAGGGCGTCCTGGAGTGAGCAGGGCTGCTGGAGGCCACAGTCGCCCCTCCTCCTGCAGACTCGGAGGCGGCTGGAGTCATGACGGGGCTTGCTGGGTTCACGGAACCTGTTCCAGGGTAGCCCGGGATTTGAGCTCCTGCCTGTCTGATCCCCAAGTTCATGTTCTCTAACAGGGCCCAGGGAAGGCCTTGAGAGTGAAGGCATTTTTCGTGGGTTGGATGATGAAAAGCGTCACCTGGCAAATCCACCGGGGCCCCTGTGGGTGACAGCAGGTGCACCCACCGGAGCCCCTGAGAACAGGGACGGATGAGAACCAAAGGTGGGAGCAAGACGAGGTGCAGGCCCTGGGTAGCTGCTGCCCCCTGGAACCTAACAGGGGAGACTTTGGAGAGATTGTCCCATAAGAAGAGCTGCAGCCCTCCAGTCCATCTTACAGATGAGGACGCTGAGGTCTGAGGAGGCCAGGGATTGGCATGGACACGGCACGGAGCATCACGGGGAGATGGTGCCCGTCACTCGTGGTGGGCTTCAAGCGTCCACCTCGCCCCTCACTCACTCATCCATTCATTTCTTCCGTGATTATCTCACCAGCTCCAGAGCAGCTACCTCATCCGGGAATGTGTATCCTACAAAAAGCCCAGGGCAATGATTTTTTTTTTCTCCCTCTCATGATACTTCATGCAAGGCTTCAATT